TGTATTGATAACATTGATTTAACTCTTGCTAAAGATTCATCATCAAGTTGTAATATGTGGTGACCTCTTTCACCTTATTTGAGCTGCCACAATTGTGTCTTCAAGTCATAAATTTAAAAAGAGTTCTCCAAGTATGAATAACATTCACGTACAATATCCCAAACATCTTTGGTTGTGGGGAGGGACAAATAGGGCTTTCCTACAACTAGTTCCATGGAGTTGATCAACTAGGTAGTAATGAGGGAATTTTTTAACTGGAGGGACAAATAAGGTTTTCCTACAACTAGTTCCATGGATTTGATCAACTAGGTAGTAATGAGGGAATTTTTTAACTTCTAGTTTGTGAAAGAAGGGTCATCCTTGGAGGGTTGCACAATTTTTTCAATATGGTATCCAAATATTCTTTCCCCATCTATGGCCATCTTCATAGATTGAATCCACTCAATGTAATTTTTGCCTTTGAGTCAATGCACAATGAGTTGTAAACTTGGGTTTTGTGAGAAAGCAATAAAGGGATTGGAAGAGCCATTAGTTCGGTGTTTCTTAGAGTCTTTGTCTTGGTGTTGGACATGTTTGTAAAAGCATCAACCATTATGGTTATAGGTTTAGAGAAAATATTTTATTTTTTAAATGGATTCATAATAATAGTAAATCAGTATTTATACTGATCAAATTTACTATTAATAAGAAAAATAATAAAATAAAAAAACAAGTTTCTCATATAAATAGGGAGAGAAAAAAGGAAACAAATAAAATAGATAACTTCCTAAATATATATGATATATGATATGATTTAGTTCAAATTTATTTTTCCTAAACTTATTCTTACAAACCTACACAAATTCACCTACCAAATTTAAAGTGTAAAATTATTGGAATATAAAATTTTATAGTTAAAATTAGGGGATTAGTTTAAAAAATTAAATATTTTTGTTTTTAATCATTTATAATTAAGTATAATGATTAAAAAATTACTTTTCTTATTCTTATACCTTTTCTTGTTACATACTAAGATATTATTTATCAATAAAAACGTTGATTTTGTGTAAAAATAAGATAAATAAATGTTAATTAGTATTTTAGTATGAAAATTACATAAAATAGTTGTTTATTTTATAAAAATAAATTCATAATAAATAAATACTTTTATTATACCTAAAAATTTAAAAAAATAAATAATTTTGAATAAATAAATTATATTTTAGATTTATAATAAATAATTTATATTGTAATATATTTTTAGTTATTGAAAATATTTTTCAAAAAAATTATTCATATAAATATGAAAATAATATATTCAATTGAATAAGAAGTTAATATATATATATATAGAGAGAGAGATGAGATTAAACAAATATTGAAATATAAAAATGGTATAGAAGGATAACATATTTGAATTTTGAAAATAAAATATGTGTTTCATTTTTTTGATCCATTAGAATTCAAAATTATAATGATATCAACAAGATTCGAATCTAAGATCACGTATATGCTACCTCCAACCCCCACTATGTCAATCTCCTAGTGGTTCATATGAAACACTTGTATATTAGGAGAGTTCACCCTTTATAAGATAAGAGTTGAGATAAAATGAATGTGAGCTAATGAGGACAGTGAAGCGTTTACACAACAAAGAATTTATATATAAAGTGATTATCCAATTTTATCATGAAATTTCTCTAATCAAAAGAACTAAAATAAAAATTCAAAAGTTTGTAATTATAATTAATTGTTTAATTAAATTATTAATGTATAATTGTATGATTTTGATGATACTTGTGTGTGTTTGTTTTAAATTAAAAAGTTCTTAATATATAAGATTAAATCTACAAAATTTTAAAAAAATTTAAAAATTATTTGATATTTTATTTCATTAATTTAAATTTTTTAATAACCATACAATCACTTTATATATTAATTTAAATATCTATAACAAAGTCTCATATGATTGTCAAGTTTTAAAAGAAAAATTGTAGACTCGACCTATATATTAAAAATTTTTAATTTAACAGTTAAATCATTAAAATTTGATATAAAATGAGTTATTAAATGAAATAACTTTATAAAAACTTACTCTTGACGTAAATAAATTCTTTCTCATATATATATATATATATATATATAT